CTGCCATCCTGCCAGGGCTCCTTGGTGTCCTGTCCATCCAGCCTCTGACTGCCATCCTGCCAGGGCTCCTTGGTGTCCTTGGAAAACACTGGAAAGAAGGAAGGAGCTCTTGTCTGTCTATCTCAGCTTCACAGAAGACACAAAGAACTCAAAGATTTATGTTCATAGAGAACAGCACCATATGCGCACATCTCTGAGCAGTTTGAAATGTCACAGTGAATTGTCTTAAACATCCATTGTCTGTATTCTGAGGCCACATGGGCCACAAATACTGTATTGACAAACCTCCTAGTGGAAACTGACAGCCTTCCTCCATCAGTGCTCCCCAAAAGGACCAGGTGTATACAAAGAACCTAGGCACAAATAAATTTACCCCCTCTCAACAACAACAACAACAACAAAAACTAGTCTCAGTAGAAAAATTCTGCATTTTTAGTTCTGACATTACTTGTAACACAATCTCTTTCTTCTTTTAGTGATGTCTCCAAAATTAATGAAGGAATTGGCGACAAAATTGGAATGTTCTTTCAGTCAATAGCAACATTTTTTGGTGGTTTTATAATAGGATTTACTCGTGGCTGGAAGCTAACCCTTGTGATTTTGGCCATCAGCCCTGTTCTTGGACTGTCAGCTGGTATATGGGCAAAGGTAGGTGAAGCCTGTGAGTCCAGATCTTAAACTCTTTCCCACGGGAAAAGATGTGAGTCCACAAGATCTGTAAACATCAACCTTAGTTTCTTTTCTATTGTGGTGAAGAAACTCATGACCAAAGAAACTTATATAATGAAGAGTTGGGGGCTTTCTTACAGTTTCAGAGGATTAGTCCATCACCGTCATAGCAGAGTACATGGCAGCAGACAGGCAGGCATGTCACTGGAGCAGCAGCTGATAGTTACATCTTTATCTGTAAGCACAAGGCAGACTGGGGCATGGAGAGCTAATTGGGAATGGCATTAGCTATTTAAACCTCAAAATCTACACCCAGCGATATACCTCCTCCAACAAGAACACACCTCCTAATCTTTCCCAAACAGTTCCACCAACTGGGTACCAATAATTCAAATATATAAGCTCATGAGGGTCATTCTTATCCAAACCACCAAAATTACTAAATATGACAGTGGCATTTTCTTACAGAAACAAATTCAGTGAACACCAAATGCCTCATTCAATTTTCTGTTCTAATGTTTGGTATGTATATAGATTTGTTTATTCTATAAATTAATTTTACCATTTTGTCATAGGTGCAAATGGTTCTGTATACATATACACATATATGTGTAAAATATATATTTAAATCCATTGCAATAAAAAGTTTATGGAAACACTATCCAGCCATGGACACATGTAAATCTGTAGCCTCTTGTTACCTCTTTCTGTCTTTGAAGACACAGAAGTTCTCTTCACTCCATCCACATGCCTTGGACAATTTTGTGATTCATTTTCTGTGTCTGAGTCAGCATGTAATTCATTTTATAAAATCATTTGATGTAAGTATAGCTGTCTGGTGGAAAGATTGGCCTAGTATTTAGATTTTGTGAGATTACATGTAATAAAAATTATAAGAAATGAAAGTCCAACCAAAATGAGGGCTAACACATAATAAATCAGGCTGTAACTGGTAAACGTTTTTGGATCAATTCCTTGTCTAAGAGGTGCTGTTTTGTTATGGCAAACAGTAATGCTCCTTTATTAGGCATCATCTATGTCCACCAGCTACAGCTGAAGTATATATAGACATTAGCTCCTTTAGCAGACAGAGTAACTGAAGTCCTAAACACTGTTAATTAGCTGCTCGGGAATGTAATCAAAATGGTGTTCCTGATGATTATCAGTTAGCTGAAAGCTGGCAAAGCTCCTTTGTCTTAATTGATTTTTCTCTTTAGTAGATCATTGAACAAATTAGGTGCAAGTTCTTTACAACAGAACTTAATGAAAAACTAAAATATATTGATATCTACTCTAAGTTGGGAAAACAGACCATAACTTAATTTTTTAATAACTAATCTTACATTGCTCCTGATACTATTTATTTAATAAAGGGAGCCCTTGGCTATCTGTTGAGACTTTTATTTTAAACTCTGCTCCTTAATATTCTTTTGATATGATTTTCTGCATATTTCTTAATCTTGGGTTTTGACTATAATTAAAAAGGATATGTGCCCTGGTTCCTTAATATAGATAAAATGTCCAGAATGTGATAAAAGGGCCCCTGTCATGCCCTCAACCAGGAAATGCACACAAACACTCCATCACACACACACACACACACACACACACACACACACACACACACACACATCCAATGCCTGTACAGATGAAGATATCAGAATTATCAGACTATGATTTAAAAATAACTACCATAAAAATGCTTCATTGGTTTAAATGCCTTTGAGGCAATTGCAAACATTCATCAGCTTAAAAAAATAGGAAATTTTAAAAAGAAAACAATGACATCAGAGAACTGAAAGAGATAACAGTAAAAAGAGTCATGCTGTATAATGGGTTCAGTCTATGCACATGGAAATTACAGAGTAGAATATAGAATATTCAGAATCAGTGAATCTGAAAGACAGAAAGTGAGGAAAACCTCGGGGTCATGTGAGGCAATAACCAAATATTGATATCATCACTGTGAGTCTCAAAAGAAGACGAGAATAGAGCATTAGGATGAACGGCAGCCCAGTGGCTGACAGACACAATGATCAGATTTAAGAGATTAATCTGATCCCAAGCAGGATAAAATAAAAGAAATCCACGATAAGGTACATCATAACCAAGAGTTATCATAACATAAAGTCTAAAGGCATAAGGATGTTTTTTATAAACCAGAAAAGAAAAGAAAAAACTGTTTTGGGGAACTTGACTGACAGTAAGCTAAACCTAGCAATATATAAAAAGAATGCTATATTATGACCAAGTGAGATTTATTTCAGCTATGTAATAATGACATGGCACTTGAAGACCCATGTAATCTGTGATACTCTATACTATAGAAAATACATGATCATATCATCTGACAGTATCTAGTCCTCACTGATGCTAACTCACAGAAGGTAAGAATAGAAGAATGTCCCTTCAGCTCTGTAGAGGCCATTCCCACAACCCCCACAGATACCCGAATAGTAAAAAGGTATCTTCGTCATCAGATTGGGAACAAGACATGGCAATCTATGCTGACTTCTTTTTCATTGACGCACTGGAATTCTAGCTGCTGCAGTAAGGCAAGAAAAATAAAAAGGCATATTGATTGATGAAGAAGCAATAAAACTATGGATTACATAATAGTCAATAAAAATTCAAGGAGTCTACAAAGTAATCTATGTGATAACTGTAGAAAGGTCACAGAATGCCAGATGGACTGCATGTTTTGCAGATAGTGATAAAAGTGTAGAAACTGATGCTGAAATAATGCCTTTCACAATCATTCAGTGTAAAACTTAGGTAACCACCTGAAAATGTAAGATCTGCATACTGAGCTAAGCAGTGGTGGTGGTGGTGGTGGCGGCAGCGGCGGCGGCGGCGGCGGCGGCGGCGGCGCACGCCTTTCATCCCAGCACTCAGGAGGCAGAGGCAGACAGATCTCTGGGAGTTTGAGGCCAGCCTGGTTCCAGGACAGCTAGGGTCTAGGGCCTCTACACACAGAAACCCTATCTCAAAAAACAAAACAAACAAACAAAAGGATCTGTGTACTGAAAATTATTGTGTTGATGGGAAATCAAGGATGACTGAGCAAGAGACATGTTCTCCCGAGCATTTGCCTACAAGGAAAGAAAATACTACTGACATAAATGTAAAAAAGTTATTAGTTCTTTTTAAAGCCACCTGTAAGTTGGCAATTTCTATAAATTCCATTAAGGATTTTTGTAGTCATATGCAAGTGAGTGTATCATAAAAAGTTACAAGTAAATTCATGGGCACTAAAACAGAAAAAATGACTTTGAAGAAGACAAAGTTGAAGAAAGAAGTCCACCTGATATTGCAGATTTCTGTCATTACTAAAATCAATGCAAGATTAGACATACAGATCACAGAGCATAGGAAACCAAGAATAGACCCGTGCAAGTATTATCCAGTTAATGGTGCTCCCTGATGCTTAGGACTGAATACAGGGATTAACACATGCTATGCAAGTGCTTTACCACTAAGCTACACCCCTGTGCCCAAGCCTCTGAGATTGTGTGTGTGTGTGTATGCACAATGTATATATTATGCTCTCTATATACATATTATATATATGTATACACATATATCTATATATCTATATATCTATATATATCTATATATATCTATATATATCTATATATATATATATATATATATATATATATATATATATAGAGAGAGAGAGAGAGAGAGAGAGAGAGAGGAGAAAGGGGTACCAGATGGAAAATAGTTAGCATCATTAAACCACAATGAAGTATCATTGAACATTTCCCAGAGTGGCTGAAACAAAAATATGAAACACCAAATGCCAGAAAGAGTACAGAGAAACTGGATCATTCCAAGATTACTGGTGGTACAGCAACTTTGAAAGACAGTCTGCCATTGTTTAAAGACTTTAGAAAATGCATGTGTGTGAGTGCTTTACCTGCATGTGTGCATGCCTTAGTTAATGTCCTATTGCCATGAAGAGACACCATGACCACGGCAACTCTTTTAAAGGCAAACATTTAATTGGGGCTGGCTTATGGGTTCAGAAGTTTAGTCTGTTACGGCCATGGTAGGAAACATGGCGGCACACAGGGAGGCATGGTGGAGGACAAGGAGCCGAGAGTTCTTTCTGGATTGGCAGGCAACAGGAAGAGAGAGACATTGGGACTGGCTTGAGCATTTGAACCCTCAAAGCCCATCCCCAAGAAGGCCACACCTACTCCAACAGGCTTATACTCCTAATAGTGCTGCTCCCTATGGGCCTATGGGGGCCATGTTCAGCCAACCACCACAATGTAAATAGACCATGTGTATGTCTACTACCAGTAGAGGCTAGAAAAGATGTAAAAGTCTTTGGAGCTAGACTTATAGGTGGTTGTGAGCTGCCTGATGTAGATGCTAGGAATCTAACTTGGGTCTTCTGAAAGAGCAGTACATGCTCTTAATCATGGAGCCTTCCCTCATCCCCTTAACTGTTTCTTAAGAAACCAAACTTGCAGTTATTGACTTAGCAACCGCACTCCCGAGCATTTGCCTACAAGGAAAGAAAATGCTACTGACATAAAAACCTATACACTGTAGTTTATAGCAACTATATTCATAATAACTCTGTCTGGAAAAAATCCAGATCTCCTTCAACAGATGAATTAGATGAACAGTACATGTCTACTGTGCAGTACTTCCCAACATATTGCTAATACACACAGCAAGCTGTATAGGTTTCCAGATAAACATGTCAGGTGACTTAATGCCCAGCCCCAAAAGTAGCATACTATTTGACTGCATTTATAGGTCATTCTTTTTGTTATTGTTGCTTGTTTGTTTGTTTTTTGAGACAGTTTCTTTATGTAGCTTTGGAGCCTGTCCTGGAACTTGCTTTGGAGACCAGGCTGGCCTTGAACTCACAGAGATCCACCTGCCTCTGCCTCCTGAGTGCTGGGATTTAAGGCATGTGCCACCATTGCCTGGCTTTGTTTTGTTTTGTTTGGTTTGGTTTGGTTTTTTTGAGACAGGGTTTCTCCTTGTAGCCCTGGATATCCTAGAACTCTCTTTGTAGACCAGGCTGGCCTCAAACTCAGAGATTTGTCTGCCTCTGCCTCCTGAGTGCTGGGATTTAAGGCATGTGCCACCACACATGGTCTTATACAACATTCTTAAAATGATGTAAAGGTGACAACAGATTAGCAGACACCATAGATTAGAGATGTTGGGGAGAGGAGGGGCTGTGGACAGAGGGGTGGGGACCATGAAAGTCGCTTGAAGGCTCTGTATCTTGAGTGTGATGACTATAGGTCACAACATTTCCTAGAAGGTAAATGTGAATAATTTTGAATTATTGTTGGAGCATATCAGTGTTAAATTCCTAGTTGTGATGGTATTCCTGTAATTTTCAAAATGTTACTTTTGGGGAACACTGGATAGGGACATATGTAATGTCAATGTATTGTTTTGACATGTGATCCCATAAGTATCTCAGAATCTTTAAAGAGCATGAGGTATTTGTAAAACAATAAAACAAAGGCCTACCTAGGTTGAGAAACAGAAAGACTGGATTCAAATGTGGTCAGAGCACCTGTAATAGTTTAAAATATTGTTTCTGAATATATTAATTTGAATATAAAATTACCTATATTGAACAGCTTTTAACTTTTCAATCCTTTAATATTGGAAATTAATTGAAGCTGACTTTTTATAACCCTGAGAAAAGATTAGAAATTTTCTTCTTCTTTTTTTTCATTTTCTATTATTGAAAATAGATTCTTTTCTCACGTAATATATCTTGATTACACTTTCCCCTCCCTCTACTCTTCCCAGTTCCTACCCACCTCCTCTCTCATCTGAATCTTTTCTGACTGTCATTAGGAAACAAACAGGCTTCTAAGGGATAATAATAAAATATAAGATAAAATCTAACACATTGGAATTGGGCAGAGCAGATAAACAGAAGGAGAAGTGTCTGAGAGAATACACAAAAACCAGAAACCACTTGTTCAGACACTCAGTAATCCCATAAAAGCACTAAGCTGGAAACCATAATACATATGCAGAGGACCTGGTGCAGACCCAGACCCATGCCAGCCCTGTGCATGCTGCTTCAGTCTCTGTGAGTTCATATCAGCTGTGATCATGCTGATTCAGAGGGCTGTTCTCCTGGTGTCCTCCATCCCCTCTAGCTCTTACACTCTTTCTGCCTCCTCTCTTGTGGGGTTCCTTGAGAAAATTTTTTCTTCTTTTGACAGACATGATCTCTTATGAGGAAAAAATTTAATATAGATTTTTTTTTCATGTTTATGGCTCCATATAATTAAGGAATGGCATAGGTGGAAATATTTGTTGATTTCATAAATATTTTCAGTAGATTAATAAATCAAAATAGCTGTTGTTGGCTGCCTCCATTGTGAGCACCACAGGGAGTGAAGAAAAATGCAGAAGCATCTTAAAGCATGTCATGTGAGCCCCTGGATTCTGCAAACCTGCTCACTCAGGGACGGTGCTGAGCAGCCTCGCTCAGACCCAGAACTTTGAAAGATTCATCAGTATGGGGCATCCCTAAGAGGATGGCTTTGAGAAGTTTTTGAGGTCTGGATAATCAGTGGGATTTGTTTCAGGCATCAATGATGACAGATACCTTCAGGATAGTGTCTACATATAGATATTATTGATAAATATCCATTTCCCTTCTTCACCTCATTCCTATGACTGTGGTTGCTCCTTTTGCTTTCACACATAAGAAAGGAAGATATGCGCTATTAAAATAAAGAGCTTTGATTTTTTTTAATGACAAAAAGGAATAAATTCCCCTTACTTAAATAATGAGAACACATGACTGTGATTTCACATTGTAAGGATGTAATGCTGTTAAATCAGAATTTTGTGAAGTATATGTGCATAGTGTTTACTTACATGGTTGGCCACTTTGTAATCCCTTGTCCAAATGGTAAGTTTGGTCCTTTTCCCATACCAATTGAGTCAGCTGTTGTAATAGTTCAAATGTTTCAGAGATCACTCCTGTTGTTGTTAATTCAGGCTTTGACCACATGGACTCAGACTTGAATCCTGGATATTCCACTTACTACCTAATCACTTACCCTGTCAAGTTTCCATTTCCTTCTATATAAGCTAGGAAAACGGATTTCCCTTTATAACTGAGAAGAGTAAATGAAATCTTATGTGTCTGAGGGAACTAGGAATGTTTCTTTTCTTTTCTTTTTTATTTTTCGAGACAGGGTTTTCTCTGTGTAGCTTTGTGCCTTTCCTGGATCCCGCTCTGTAGACCAGGCTGGCCTCGAACTCACAGAGATCCGCCTGCCTCTGCCTCCCAAGTGCTGGGATTAAAGGCGTGCGCCAGCACCGCCAGGCGAATGTTTCTTACAAATGCTCAGAAGTCAGACAGATCAAAGAACATTGATTTTTGAAACAAAAAACTGTTCCTGGTAGATGAATGTGCTGTTTCTCCGGGGATCACCAGTAAAGGAAACTGGGGCTTGGTCCCCTGCATTCTTCTAGCCTCCCACCCTAATGCTTCTGAACTAAGGTATCACACATATGTCCTGGCCATAAAGCCCATTTTCTATAATGGCTTATGATTATATTGTGGCATATGTTTTCCTTTCTGAAATTTAACATCTCTCAAAGCTCTAATTATTGTTTTGATGAGGATCCATGAAATACTCAGTGGGAGATTTTGTAGTTCATCTAATTTGTTATACATCTTCATTGAAGAAAAATGAACTTGAGATGTCTTACATAGTGAAAAAAAATATATGTATATATGTATATGTATGTGTGTATATATATATATATGTATACATACATACATGCATACACACTAATAGAATATCATGGCCAAAGACAACTGAAGGATGTTTAATTCTTCACATGTATTAATATTCAACCAGCATTTGTTTATTTATAACTGTTAATATGTTAATAATCTGGTTTCATTTTTAAACAGATATTGTCTTCATTTACTGATAAAGAACTTCAGGCATATGCAAAAGCTGGAGCAGTTGCTGAAGAAGTCTTAGCGGCCATCAGAACTGTGATTGCTTTTGGAGGACAAAAGAAAGAACTTGAGAGGTTTGAGTTTCTTTTTAAAATTGGTAGAAATATTAATTCTGTCATCCTACATGCCATTTAGTTAGAGGGTATATGGTTTGTAGACAAAGAGTAAAGAGTCAAAGGTTTACACTTGAGAGGAACATTAATTCATAGTTTTTAAATGTTCCAGAAAGATCAAACAAATATGCTAAGGTGGTCAGAGAATTCTTGTTGAAGGATATTTTATCTAGGTAAGACCTGAGGTGAGAAAGGTCTTCAAAAGCAGGGATACAGATTGGATGGGCAGGAAGGATAGTCTATTAACGTCTCTGAGGTGGCAAAAGCTTTGGTGTATTTTGAGATATACTACCAGGTGTGTGAGCCTGGAGCTCATGTCAGTGGAGGGAGATTGGGGTGTGGCCAGGATCTAGGGGCTATAGAGAAGAGATGAGATTTTATTTCAAGGGTATGGGCTAGTCTTGAAGGTGTGAAACTGAGGAGTAGCCATCCATAGGGTTTATACATCTGTTTCTCTGTCTGAAGGGGGCTGCTGAGTAGATGAGAGCATCAAAGGGTGGGATCACAGAGAACAGTGGGAAGGCTGATGCCATGATCCAAGTAAAGGGATTATGGTAACCTGATCTAGAGGTAGGGACACAAAGGGGGTGGGAAGTTACTAGATTCCGGAGCTGGAATTAGAATTGACAAGATTTTGTAAAGATTTTAAATTACATTTTTCTATTTATTTACTATGGGGTACATATGTCAGAGTGTGTTGGCGTGTGCATGTGTATATACATGGGTGCACACCATAGTCACAGGACAACTTGCAGGAGCTGGTTCTCTCCTTCCACCATGGTGTTGCATGGATCACACTCAGGTTGATAAGTTTGGCAGCAACAGAGCCATCCTGGTATTATTAAACAAAATATAATCTTTCCATTTTCTTTCTAGTTCTCTCTTACATGCTTTCAACATCAGTCTTTGACTTTCTCTTCAAAATAGCTGCTGCATGAGGAATTTATCTTTCTTGTAATAGAGATTTAACCATAACTGTGAATGCATTTAATTCAAATAGGACACTGTTGTTCTCAAAAAGTATGTTCTTGTTGACCTGTGCCTATCACCTTAGCATTGGGGGAATTGAGGTGGGAAGACCCTGAGTTCCAGGTCAGCCTGAGCCTGTATAGTAAGACCCTGTCAAAGAATGCTCCCACACCCAAAATTTGTATGCATGTTTTTTCTCACTTGTGTCTTATAAATCTTTCTCTGTTGGTATTGATTTCTATTTGCCTACCTAAAACTGCTACTTGCACAATTATGCAAATAATTAAAATTTTCTTCATAATAATTGAGAACATTTTCTAGGACACTGTTTTGTTAATTACACACTCATTTTTAATTATCATTTCCCTACTATATCCTTTAATGAATGGATGATTTTTATATCTTGCTTCATATCAATGACATGTTCATTTAAAAACTAGTCATTAAAAAGACCTATGAAAATACAGTCTTACTTATTTATTTTCTCTTCTATCCCTTTATTTTCACTTATCTATATTTGTCTGGTATTTGCACCTATCTGGTATCTGTATGTATCTGGTATCTAAACAGATTTTTTTTTGCTTGTTGATTTTTCCTTTGCCAATATTTCTTCTGGCTGCGTAGGACAATATCCTATCAGTGAAATGGCTTCAACATTAGCCTCGGTAAGCAAGAACAGAAATAAAGGAGATGATAGAGCGTGGGTAATACGTATTTAAGTTTCTTAATGTTGTCATGTAAAATATTTCAAAGCAATTATTAGATATATCATAGGTCAGCTTTAACTTGAAATGGGTGCATTGCGCGCAACTGAAACATGTTTCTTAAAAATATTTTTTTGCTCAAAGATTATAACTGCTAACTTGAGGGTATATATATATTTCATCACTATAAAATTCTCTCTGAATTAGTCTTTAGTAGATATGATTTTTATGTAACCATTGTGTTGTGTTATCATAGCCTTGGTGAAGTAACTAGCTAAAAAATGTAGTCACCAGGACAAGAACCAGGGTTTGAACTTTTGGTGTGCTTACTAGTTAAATGAGTTTTTCAAAGAAAATTGATAGTATATAGTAGTCATATAATTATGTATTTAATGGAGCAAAGACCCCTCCCCAATAGGAATTCTATGCAGAAATATGTTGGGTTTTTTTTTTTTAGTTTAAAAATTGTAAGGTACTTTCTACAAGACAATGAAGACTCTTGTGGTTCGTTAGGAGTTCAAATAAAGAACGTAAAGTGTTGGGTGTGGTGACATACACCCTGTAATCCTGGCCCTTGGGAGGTAAGGCAGGAAAACATTGAGTTCCAGGTAGCCTAGGAGTAAGAGTGAGACCCTTTCTCAAAAACCAACAAAAAAGATACAAAGAGTAAGATTCAAAAATGACCTTACCTAGTTCCCTAATATTTTCTTTTTTAAATCTGTATTTGTAAAGGTCTGTCCTTTTCTCTAACTCTGATTCCCATTAGCTTTTATTAGCTGACCATCATTCTTTATTTCTTGAGCAGAATGGCTCGCTGTCTAGCTCTCAAATAAAGTAAAGCTATGGACACTCTCCTTTAATTGTCCACTCTCTGAGGGTTGAAAGTACTTGAACTGTAGTTTGGGAAGAAGCGTGAAGTTGTTAGACCTGGAGGGAAGAGTATCTGTCAGTAGAAACCAGCTCTGTATGGTGGCGCTGCTGCCTTCCTGCTTTTGTTCCCTTGTTCCTTGTAGTGCTCGAAGTGGGCTTAAGGCAGTGGTTCTCAACCTGTGGGTCGCCAGGTCGCCCTCTGGGAGTTACATATCAGATGTTATATTACGATTCTTAACAGTAGCAATGAAAATAATTTTATGGTTGGGGTCATCACAACATGAGGAACTGTATTAAAGGGTTGCAGTGTTAGGAAGGATGAGACACACTGTCTCGAGGCATTCTCTCTGACTTGTGCCGTGAGTCGGATCAGTTGCAAGGCTGTTGACAGGCCTCTTTTCTGCCTTTGCTGCACGTTGTATTCTACCATGCTGCACCCTGTCCCCGACCATAGCATGCATGGCCTGACAAATACTAGAAAGGATGCATAAGCAGTGTGTGCAAAGTAGGAAAGGTTAGGATGCTAGTGGAAAAGCCAAGTATTTTTAGTAAGTCACTGGTTTTACAACTGCTATGGGGGAAAGATAATTTCTATAGCTTATTTAAATGTAAAAATATCGCATAGCATTTCATAGCTTTAAATGTGCCCTGACATGTGTTATCCTGTGATTGGTCATTCCAATGATCCCAGAAGGAAGCTAGATAGGAAGAAAACTGTCTGAAAGCTCCCCTAAATTGTAGAGAATTAAATGACCTTCTTGTGTTTAGGATTTTCTAACATTAAATCTCTTTTATTAATTAATTAATTTAAATTCATTGAATGAAAAATAATTGTTTTGTTGTGTCTTCTCTTCTAGAAGCTAGCTAAATATTGATTCTCTGATTTCACTGTTACATAAACAGAACTTTTGGGCCTGGTGGACAGTCGTAGTGAAATTCTTTTAACCCCAGCACTCAGGAGGCAGACAAATCTCCATGAGTTTGAGGCCAGCCTCTTAATACAGAGTGAGTTCCAGGACAGCCAGGGTTACACAGAGAAACCCTGTCTCAGAAAAAAAAAAAAAGAGGAAAGAGAACTTTTAGAAGACTCCCACAGAAAAATACTCTCTCCACACTTCAATATCACTTTCTACAAGAAGAAGATAAAATGGGAATAACGTATCATAGTGTCAATACATGGAGAAAATACATGTATCCTACAGGGTTGAGTACATTCTAACTGATCACTAACAGTCATGTTACACTAATACCTTTCCATAAGGTTTGCGAGTCTACATAATTATTTCCTCCTTTCTCCCAGGTACAATAACAACTTAGAAGAAGCTAAAAGACTTGGGATAAAGAAAGCGATCACATCCAACATTTCCATGGGTGCAGCTTTTCTTCTTATCTATGCATCATATGCTCTGGCATTCTGGTATGGGACTTCCTTGGTCATCTCAAAAGAATATTCTATTGGACAAGTGCTCACTGTAAGTTATACATGAACCAAAAGAGAAGTGGATCATTAAAAGTTCTAATGGAATTGAATGGTGTTGAAAAAATATACTTTGAATGAGTATTCGATACTAGAGACATACATTATTAGGTGAAGGAGTTGAAAGGAAATTAAATGCATCCTTTTCTTTGTAGATATGTTGTACAATTTCTACTATGGCCCAAGTATTAACATTACTGTCATTTCCATCTGGAGTTCTAGATAACAATGTAGGGTTTTGAATTACAACTCCTGGTGTAGCTTAAATATTAACTTTATCAACTTCTGAAGCATGGATTTTCATTTTATGAGATTTTTTCTTTGTATCAAATTTTTCTACTAAATCTTTCACTTTTATTTTCTTTCTTTCCTTCCTCCCTTCTTTTTTTTGGGGGGTGGGTGGGTTCGAGACAGGGTTTCTCAGTGTAGTTTTGGTGCCTGTCCTGGAACTCCCTTTGTAGACCAGGCTGGCCTTGAACTCATGGAGATCTGCCTGGTTCTGCCTCCCAAGTGCTGGGATTAAAGGCGTGCACACCACCCACTTTTATTTTCTAATTTACTGTTCACAAGTAGAAAAATATACAGTTGAATTTACACTCAAACTCTGTTGAAATTCTAATCCCATCAAGTTGACAAGATTAACCATCACAATTCTACTCCTTGCCAACTTGATAACTAAACATATAATTTTTAAGCCATAACATTTCCTCTCTTGTCTTTATAGGCTCATGGCTGTCCCATAATACAAAAAGCATTCAGTCCAAAAGTCTCAATGATCTTTTTTAATCCAACAGTATCTGTCCAAAAGTATAAATATAGTCTCTTCTGAGACTCAGGCAGTCTTTTAATTGAGCCCCCATAATAAGCATTCATATTCCAAAGGGGAAATATGGAGACAGTAAGGAAAGATCACATGACTGAAACCAAATAGAGAAACTCCCAAAACCCACGTTGCTATGTGAGGCATCTGGGACTTCTGATGAAATCATCTTGACTCCAAAGACTTGAGTAGCCCCATCCTTCCAACTTGGTTCGCTATGGCACACATATCCCACCTCTTGGGCCATCTCTATCTAACAGTCCTCGAATCTTCAACATCTTGGGGTCTCCATTTCAAGATAGGCTTCACTTCAAGTTTCACATAAGGTCTTTCAGGGCCCCCTCGCAAGGAATCCAAACTTGCTACACAATGCTTTCTCTCGGAGACTTTCTGAAACCTTGTTACAGCCTCTACACCCCCTCAGAAACTTTTGCATCTCTCATGCCTGTAAAGCCAGTGCCATGTGGATGACACTACTAAGTTCTATTGCCAGTTCAAAGTGTAGTTGGCATCCTGGGGCCACAGCTGCACTACACTGACCTCTGTACACCTTTACGGCTGGTTATAGAGAAACACTCCACTAGGAGGTTGGTTTTGAGCAGGGAGTCATCAGTGGCATTCTGTTTAGGCTTTCTCCTTTCAAACAGATTGGCACCTTCTAGGTGATTCTAGGTCCTGTCAAGCTGACCATCATTATTCACCGTCATAAATATTTTCTGCATTTTAGAACTTAGACAAAGTACAAAATACTTTACTCTTGACATTATTTTATTATAAGGCATTGAAATTATTTGTAACCAAGCTAAATGTGTATCTTGTTAGAAGATTCAGTCTGTTTCTTTTCCTTAGACTAACTATAAGGAGACAGAATTAATGTCAAACCATAATTCTTTGAGTCCTTAAAATAGGTTCCTTTCCTGGGATTCAGATTTGTAATATGAATTTCATAATTAATCCTTTTTTTTTCATTGTTATTGTTGTTTGAACTGTGCTTTATCTAGTATATGTGGAGCTATTTAGATAGGGACAGATTTCACAAAGACAGTTTATTGTTTTTTGTTTTGTTTTTTGTTAGGATAAGCCTAAATTGTAATGAAATATGAGCTGTTTAATTTTGATATAGAGGAGCTGATTTTATCTTATTTTTATTGAAGATTGTCTAACATATGTTTGTATCACTGAGCCACAGTCCTAACCCCAGGAATAAAGTACTTTCAATCTCATATTCATGGAGTCTAAAGCTGCTTCACAGTCTAGAACCATTCAGAATGGAGACTGCAAGATTTAATATCAGACCCAATAGGTTCAACATCCAGCTGCACTACATACTAGCTTCAAGGTTTGAGCAGTCTTCAACACTATTGTGCCAAATATGTGACAGGAATCATGTGACCTGTTTGTGAGTGCTATAAAGAGTAATGAATATAGACTCACTTAGCAAAGCCCCTTCCATGCAAATTATTGAACAACAGGATTCCTGAAAGATTTAGAAGTAAATGGATGATATTAGTTCTCATCAGCTTCCAACAGAAGTATATAGTGCCAAGTCCTTACTGACAAACATTTTGATCAAAATAACTCCAAAACTTGGGGAACGGTGTGATAGGGAGGGAGAATGACTCCATAAAGAATCATCCCTTGGTTGTGTGCTTTATAACTTACAAAATATCTCCATAGCCGATGTCATCTGATACAACTTGTAGAGAGAAAAAATAGAATCATATATGTCTTTGCACATGAAACCGAAGACTAAATATTCTGAGAGACTGTCTTGCAGATGCACAGCTGGTTAATAGCAATCCAGGATTTGGACCTTAGTCTTCTCACTTGCACTTTAGTGTTAGTTTCCATTTCCCAGCCCCTACAAGCTAAATAAAAATGACTAGTCATTGAAGAAATAGAAATATGTTCTATTATAATACTCAGATAGAGCTTGTATGTCACTGCCTCACTGGAAAGGTAAGATCAATTCTGTGTTGTAGGCTAGATGGGATTGCCCAAAGTTTAGAGATGTTTTCACCTTGTAAATTTTTATATTTTTCAGTTGAAAACATACATGACCTTTGAGGGATATAGTGTGATATTTTGACATATGTATACAATGTGGAATGATTACATGAAGCTAATCTCAGTTATTCTACTTTAAATTTTTTGTGGTGAAATATTTGAAATTTACAATGATGAGATTTTAAGTTTTTTTAACACCTGGTGTTAGTAGGTGACCTTGACATTTAAAAATATAATTAGTTGTATGGGATTAAAGAGGAAATATGAGAGAGTCGTGACAAACAAGGTAACACAGTTTTTTCTTCACACTGTCCAGGTCTTCTTCTCAGTTTTAATTGGGGCATTCAGTATTGGACAGGCATCTCCAAATATCGAAGCCTTTGCCAATGCAAGAGGAGCAGCCTATGAAATCTTCAATATAATTGATAATGTGAGTCTGACCTGCCTGTTTACCCATCTAATAAAGGATTTTCCATTAGAGATAGTTTCATTGGGACTTTTTCTAGCTAATCAAAAAGTTCTGCATAAAGCCATGACTGTCGCTTAGTGATACGTATAATTTTCTTCTGTGTAGAAGCCCAGTATTGACAGCTTCTCAACGAGCGGGCACAAACCAGACAACATTAAAGGAAATCTGGAATTCAAAAACATTCATTTCAGTTACCCATCTCGAAAAGAAGTTCAGGTACGCTGACAATTTTCTATGAGATGAAAAGTTTCTAAAAGGTTGTAGGGAAAGGCTTGTTTGTAAAATCAGCATACTATTGAACTGAAATGCCAGCATACAGATTCTGTATGCATCTCTGTCTGGGAATTGCCCTGACATTAGCATCTCACCAATTTTGCAGATCTTGAAGGGCCTCAACCTGAAGGTGCAGAGTGGACAGACGGTGGCCCTGGTTGGCAACAGTGGCTGTGGGAAAAGCACCACTGTCCAGCTGCTGCAGAGGCTGTACGACCCCATAGAGGGCATGGTGAGTGGGCATGCACCAGCAGCAGTTACCACTGCCCATCATTCTGACTCCGTGAGTCTAAAGTGAAAACCACGCATTCTATTTCAGGTCAGCATCGACGGACAGGACATCAGGACCATCAATGTGAGGTATCTGCGGGAAATCATTGGCGTGGTGAGTCAGGAACCTGTGTTGTTTGCCACCACCATTGCTGAAAACATTCGCTATGGCCGAGAAAACGTCACCATGGATGAGATTGAGAAAGCTGTCAAGGAAGCCAATGCCTATGACTTCATCATGAAACTGCCCCATGTGAGTTGTGCCTGTCCGCTGTCACCCCGAGGCTCAGAGAGCAGAGCTCTGGCCTGATGCCATCCATGTGAAAACTCCTGTTAATCAGAAGAACTTCCTTAGAGGAGGAATCCAGTTTACTGTGGATTTTACATCGCTCACTCTATCTATAAGCGGTAGAACTGGACTGTATTGCTGTCGAGGCTCCAGTGATGATCACATCCCAATTTGAAATGGGAACTGAAGTAGTTTGTTGCTTTACTACATTTTCCTGTTTTTTTTTTTTTTTTTTTTTTAAATTTGTAGAAATTTGACACCCTGGTTGGTGAGAGAGGGGCGCAGCTGAGTGGGGGACAGAAACAGAGAATCGCCATCGCTCGTGCCCTGGTCCGCAACCCCAAGATCCTTTTGTTGGATGAGGCGACCTCAGCTTTGGACACAGAAAGTGAAGCTGTGGTTCAGGCCGCTCTAGATAAGGTCTGTGAGCTGTACTTACAAGGTCTGAATTATGAGAATAATAGTATTCCACTGTTTATTCTTCTTAATCTTGGTCTTAGGAAAGAAACGTTTGATAGCTTCTATTACCTGTTACTAAGGCAAAGCACTAGGCTTCCAAAATCTTTTTTGTTGTTGTTCAACTTCTGTATCTTCTTTATCTTTAAAAACATTTATTTTCTTATTTATATATCTGTGTGTGTTTTCATGTGTGTACAAACATGAGAAGAGGATGTTAGATCTCCTGAAGCTAGAGTCAATGGCAGTTATGAGCCACCACATGTGGGTGCTGGGAACTAAACTCCAGTCCTCTGCAAGGGAAGAAGCACTCTTAACTACTGAGCCATCTCTCCAACCCTTATTTATTTATTTATTTATTTATTTATTTATTTATTTATTTATTTATTTATTTATTTCTCTTCCTTTCTTTTTTGAATTACAATAAATAAAATTTCACTGAAAGGCATGCCAATATCTTCTAATTAAAAATGAAAAATGGAGACTCAAATGAAAATTAGTCTTCATTTTGATTATGAAAATTTAGAGAAATAACCCTATTTATCTGGTTTTGAGAGTTTGTAGTATTATAACCCAAAGGAAAATATGAGTGGAAGTCACTTAATGCCACCTGAAGACTATGGAAATGAAAAGAGAAATAATCCCATTAATCTGGTTTTAAGAGTTTATAGTATTATCAACAAAAGGAAGACACAAATGCAAGTTGCTTAATGCCACTGAAAACTATGAAATTGAAAAGCCCCTCTCTCCAGGAGAGGGTGCACTGAGTGATGGGATTGGAGACCTACTGGTCCACGAAACATCAATGACTAGGGCTGGACTTTGCTTTTTCGAGACAGGGTTTCTCTGTGTAGCCTGTCCGGAATTCACTCTGTAGACCAGGCTGGCCTCAAACTCAGAGAGCCTGCCTCTGCCTCCTGAGTGCTAGGATTAAAGGCAGTGTTTTTTGTTCTAATTATTCATGTATCTAAAGCAGGTTTCTCTCTCTCCAGGCTAGAGAAGGCCGGACCACCATCGTGATAGCTCACCGCTTGTCTACAGTTCGTAATGCTGACGTCATTGCTGGGTTTGACAATGGTGTCATTGTGGAGCAAGGAAATCATGATGAGCTCATGAAAGAGAAGGGCATTTACTTCAAACTTGTCATGACACAGGTACAGTGGAACTCGAGAAATGTCCTAATTTATCTTGATGATAAGCTGATGTCACTATATTTAATCTACAGATAAATGTTACTTGATTGTATAATTTTGGAATGTAGGAGAAGGGTACTTAGGGATTTCTTAGAACATGGACCTGCACCGTTAGGTCTGATTCTATAGCTTGACGCAGGCCACACTGCCCCCTTGCTGTCTCCAGGACAGAGTTAAGAAGCACTGTACTTCTAGGTTCTTAAGACATCCTCTCCAAAGAATCAAAATAAACTCAAGACTCTTTGCAAACACTTCCCCAACCCTGAACAAAATCAATGACTCTTTTATACATAAAACTAAGATAATTATGGCAGCAAAGACTTCAATGGTGATGTAAGTCTGTAAGCTGTACTCCACGTTTGTTTCTGAACCCCGAAGTACAAGAATAAACATATGTGGGGGATAAAACATATTTATACTGAAAAATATTATTTTTTAAGTCTCACACTTTAAAAAGTTTTATTCAGAATTATGAATTGATATAATCTTGGATATGGCTCATAATCTGCAACATTATCATGTCCAACACTTTTTAAAATTATTTTTAAGGATGTGATCATTGTTTTGGTTGTGAGAAGTTGAATTTTTCCATTGCCTTCAATTTCATCTTGTGGTTTGTCTCTTTTGATAAATGGCTTTACATTAAAAATTGTGAACAAGTGAAAAAAAGAAGCACTGTACTGTAACTTGATTATTCTCAATTTATGGTACATGGTTCCTCCATGTTCCTTTTCACATACACTATGCTGAACTAAATCATGTGTTATAAACCTTCTTGCCACTTCTAAAAGGTTATGAAAACTTAATCCTTTCCTTTGTGCTTTGCATTGCTCCAAGGCTCTGTCTCTCTCTCTCTCTCTCTCTCTCTCTCTCTCTCTCTCTCTCTCTCTCTCTCTCTCTCTCTCTCCTTCCTTTCGCTTCCCTTCCCCTCATCCCTCTACCTCCCTCTCCCATCTCTCTCATTTTCATGCATAACGAAGCTCCCCTCTATGCTTTAAAGGGAAACTTCTCTTTAGGGCCTGGTTATACTTAGGTCTCCATGAACTGTCTTGTTTCTGTCTAATTCTCTCCCTCCCACCTTGAGGCCCAAGCACGGCCTTGAGGAGCTCATGGAAAGGAATTATAATTATGTTTCTGCTTCCTTCCCAGACAGATCACTGCTGCTTTACTGCTTTTATATAATAGTATCCAGGACTAATGCTTTAGATTGACTTTTTTTTTCTTTTTTGGCAAAGAGAAGACCTAAAGAAGCATAATTAAGGAAAAGTAAAAAGAAATATTAAGTTCCATCATAATAGTTATTAGCCATGTGTGATAGTGAATGTTAAATGGTGAAAATGTACACCAAATTCTGAAGACCTGGTACAAAAAATAATAAACTAAAAAAATAACATTTCATTAAAATATCTAAAACATTTCAGCCTCTTTTGAGTTGCTATTCACACACTGGTTCAAAAGCAAAGTTGATTGAGCCATATATTCCCAGAAAAGAGATAACTAGAGAAAATACACAAAGGCTTGTCACTTTATTTCAGCATATTCACAAAGAATCCTAAATATTAAGTTCTTTCCCCCAGTATAGCACACAAGAAGGAATAGTAGTTTAATTTCATCCCTTCCTTTGATTTAAGTAATTCAATATTTTTCTTGATATTTATTTTTAATGATTAATTTCCATTATTTGAGCTTAAACTAGTCATATTTCTTATTTATTTTAGACAGCAGGAAATGAAATTGAATTAGGAAATGAAATTTGTGAATCTAAAAATGAAATCGATAATTTAGACATGGCTTCAAAAGATTCGGGATCCAGTCTAATAAGAAGAAGATCAACTCGCAAAAGTATCCATGGACCACATGACCAAGACAGGAAGCTTAGTACCAAAGAGACCCCGGTATGGACAAAGATGTAATATTACATCCTAAATCCTCCTCTTGAGCCCTCCTAGTTGAGTGTGCTTCAACTGAAGGAGTAGGAACTACAATGTATTTTCTATAATTCTTTTGTTCTGTTTTCCATAGTGTTCCAGAAACTGAAATGGTGATGTGTTATAGTCAGTTTAGGTTTAAGAATAAAAGTTAATACAAAAATGCTAGAAACAGAACTGAGAACCTGAAGAGACTATAGTAGGTGTTTAAATATTACTATTTCTATTATGATTATCCTTCTTGGTCAATATTCTTGTCTTCTGTTGAATGCCAAGAATTAAATATTTGTGGAAGCATCATTCATTTCTTAAAAAGTAAAAGGGTACTATAATGTGTTATCATTGTATTTGAAGGCAAATATACATCAACTGATAATGAATAAAAATAGGGTAAATATTTATTTTAAAACTTGTGGCCAGGTAGTAGTGGCACATGCCTATAATCCCAGCACTTGGGAGGCAGAGCCAGGTGGATTTCTGTGAGTTTGAAGCCAGTTTGGTCTACAGAGCGAGATCCAGAACAGGCACCAAAACTACACAGAGAAACCCTGTCTCGAAAAACCAAAACCAACCAACCAACCAAGCAAACAAACCCAAAAACTTGTACCTCTCCTATAAGCCCAGCCCTTGGATGGTGAAGGCAGAAAGATTAGATGTTTAAGACAGCTCATTTAAAGCCAGCCTGAAATATACAGGACCCTGCCTCATCAACAGAAGACCTCCACAGAGCAAAATCAATGAGAATCCCTTTTAACCCCCAGCAAAAAAACTACCTTGTTGTAATGCATATGTTTTCTAGGATGAAGATGTACCCCCAGTTTCCTTTTGGCGTATCCTAAAGTTGAATTCAACTGAATGGCCTTATTTTGTGGTTGGTACATTTTGTGCCATAATAAATGGAGGCTTGCAACCAGCATTTGCCATAATATTTTCAAAGGTTATAGGGGTAAGTGATTATATCCATTTTCACATTACTTATGAGTCTTGACTACAAAAATGAATGAACTATCTTTAATCTCTCTCCTCTCTCTCTCTCTCTCTCTCTCTCTCTCTCTCTCTCTCTCTCTCTCTCTCACACACACACACACACACACACACACACACACACCATAAACACAT